GCTATGTTTGCTAGGGGCTCCACCTTCCCCATTCCTAGTTCCAGGAAGCATCCACTGGAGTGGGGACAGTGGCCTAGACCTCAGTTCAGGCCACTGTCCCTCATTGATTGAGTAACCTAGATCAAGTCACAGTCTCTCTTCACTTCTGTCTTTACATCTGTTAAACAAATTTTTTTTCCAGATAACATTCATTCTATAATTCTAAAGAGGTGATACAAAGAGAACTAAGGCTAAAAAAGAATAAGGCTCACACAATTAATCCTTTTCTCTCTTTTCACTTCCAATTATGCCTTCTTTTGAAATATGCTTTATTTTTTTCCTTTTCCAGTCAAGGTTCCTATGATATTTATTTTATTTTCTCTCATTAAAAAGATGTTTTTTGGGCCGGCCCCGTGGCTTAGCGGTTAAGAGCGTGCGCTCCGCCGCTGGCGGCCTGGGTTCGGATCCCGGGCGCGCACCGACACACCGCTTCTCCGGCCATGCTGAGGCCGCGTCCCACATACAGCAACTGGAAGGATGTGCAACTATGACACACAACTATCTACTGGGGCTTTGGGGGGGGGGGGGAAGATTTTTTTTAGTTTCAATAAGGAAGTATGCCTCCACTAAAAATGGCTCAAGAATAAATTATTTCATGTAAATGGCTTCATTCAGCCAAAAAGATCAATGTTATTTAGTATGTTTATTTCAAATAATGTGATCCCTGTAATGTAGAAATGAGTCTTTGACTACCATATTATCACAAGAGTTCTGAAGAGTATGTAGCAGGGGTATAACCAACTTTATAAAGTGATTTAAGCATTAGAGATCAAAGAGAATAAAAATCCAGGATGGAAACAATCATGATTTTTTAAAACATATCAAGGGCATTTAAAATATTTAAGATGTGGAGAAACCATTAATTTCTGGAATAAAGCATTTTTATTACATTTCACATGTGCGTGCACACACACACAAACTTTCAGGAGATAAAGCAAAGAACCAAAACTTGATTATAAATTATTGGTCACTCCAACACTACTGGGGTAAATACTATAAAACAATGAATGCAATTAAACTTCAGATAACCACACCAAATACACCTGTTTCTAGCTTCAGCAGAACACAAACATAAAAACACTGAAAACACAAGCAGAAAGAATAGAAACTTCAATGTTCAAGAAACATCAGAGGTGGTTTAGATTACCTGCTCTTAAACCTACCCTAAGCCGAGAGATTCTGATTCAGCTGGCCTGGTAAGAGACACAGAAATCTTTTGTTTATTTTTTAAAAGATACTCAAATGACCGTGATCACCTGTGAGGTCTGAAAGATGCTGTCTTAAAAAACGTATTCAGCAGCCGGGCTGTGGCTTAGCGGTTGAGTGCGCGGGCTCCGCTACTGGCAGCCAGGGTTGGCGGCCGGGGTTCGGATCCCAGTGCGCACTGATGCACCGCTTCTCCTGCCATGCTGAGGCGGCGACCCACATATAGCAACTAGAAGGATGTGCAACTATAACATACAACTATCTACTGGGGCTTTGGGGAAAAAAAAAAGGAGGAGGATTGGCAATAGATGTTAGCTCAG